AGAAGTCTTGAAAGTTTCTACCCTATTGCCATTTTAAATATCAGATATTAATAATTGGATCATTTTGATGCTGTATCCTCAAATACAATTCACTTAGATAATTACTATCTAAGTAAAATTAAGTAATAAATTGATAACGGTTTTATTTTTAAAGCATATAAAATTGTTTTATAATAATTATTAATTACACAATAATATATTTTAGATTTACAAGTGAACGAGTGTATGATGTACAGCTATTATAATTTAATATAAAAGTAATTAAATAATAATAACAATTTTAGTGTAATTTATGTCACCAGCCACCAGGTATTAATAAAAATGTGCTTAGTTTCATTTCAAATATTAATAAAATAAGAAATTAAATATAAATGTATGATAATAATATATAAATATCAAAAATAGATGTTAAAAGGCTTAAAAAATAAATTTGAATTTATAAAAAGTTATTGGAGATATAATACTAGTCATTTTTAACGATATTAACGGAAAGTAGTTATTTTATTTGAACACATATCTATTTACTTTTTTATATCATGGGTAAAATATTATAATTTATTTGCATACATCTCTTCGTCATTCTTCATAAACGGTAAACCATAATAGTAATAATATTTATTTTATACTTGTTAAACTTAAAATTGACATTGAAAATCTATTTTATTTTATTTTTCATCCTGTTAATTTTAAATTGTTCTATTGTTTTTTTTTTTTTAATTTTTGATTTATCATGTTTTTATTTTATTTCAACACGTAAGAATAATCGGTTGACTTTTCCAGCCTTAATAAGTAGCACAGAAAATTAATTTTCATTTTATAATATATGATTTTGATTGACTACATGTAAAGTATTTAATTACTCATAGCACTTAATTATGCAACGAAATACAATTATTATTTTATCCCTGCATGTTTTTCTTTTTTTTTTTATAGGTTTAGATATGACATTCATTCGTAGGAGTGGTTATAATATGTCATGTCGTTATATCATAAATGTAATGTGCATGTGCATTAGTATAGTTAACTACACTGCTATAACTATTTTGAAATGTATAAATTTGATGTAAGACGAAGGTCTTTGGCATCTGCGGTCTATTCTGATTTATACTCTAATGACTAATATAATATAATACAGTGGAAATATTTCATGGTTCAAAGGACAAGGTAAACATAAAATATTATTCGAACGTTCGGCGAGCCTCATATTATCATATACATAGATACCACCTATTAAGTAGATATAAATATTTAATACGAATAGGAATAAAAATATAATTCAATGAATATTTTATAATAACGTAAGAATAATTAGGTACAACTGTATATACAAGATACCACACGAGTACCTACACTCGTTTCATATTATGACTTAGTATTTCACTTTTAAAAGAAACATAGTTAATTAAATATTTCTCAATCCAAACTAAATAATTACACTTTATAAATGCTATTTATTCATAAATTAAATTTTAATTTCCTCTATATTTTATAAGCTTAAATGCATAACCTGTAATTATAAATAATTTATAATTCATAGGTATTTAAGAAAATGATTGTGAATAAATTAAAAAGTATAAGAACTTTGTATTCTGTCGGAAGTTTTAATTTTTAATAATTTAAATTTTGAGAAAGTTATTTATAAATAAATATTACGAAACTTTCTTAAAAATAAAAAAATATTTAAAAAAAAATCTTCTGACAATACATATATAATATTATTTTTTTTATAAATTTTATAATAGCTAATTTCAATAATGTAGTAATCACAATAGTGAAAGATGGAGAAAGATTTTTACTATATTCTATGCGTGACTGACGTAGAAACATTTTTACTGATGCAGTGATGTGCCTTCTTAAATCGATTGTTATGACGTGTCACTTTGTCCCATCCACCCCAAAAAATAATTGAATAGATGACTCTTCTGCTTTATGGACCAAGTTATTCAAAATTTCTAAAAAATTAATTAACTTACTAAATTGCTAAATTTGAATGGACTAAATCATGTTTAAGGGATGATTAGCTCATGATTGATTCATTAAATGTTTACTAATTCTTCATCACCGACATTAAATTATTATTTATTTATTATTAATATATTATAGAAAATGTACAGAAATATTAAACGTTAATAAAAATACATTAAACGTCTGTACCATTGTTGTAAGTTATTATATTTACAGAACATAGTATTTTCAACGTTGATGGATTTATTATTAGTATAAGATATATATGTAGGTATTAATTATTTTAGAATACGAAAAAGTTATAATATTAGTATCTATAGTATTAATACATTAATAGGTATAATATTGTATTAAAAGTATTGTGTATAATTCTTGAATAAAAAACCTAATATATTGATACAATCTATAAATTATGACTTATGACCTACAAGAAAACTATTTTATTATTCTATTCATCGTATTATATTAGATATAAACACATCATTTGAGTTATTTTATGTATTATGTATATGGGTAAATTATGGTCAATTTTATTTTTAAAACATTCAATTTTATAAAACTAACTACATATTAAATATTCTGAAATTATTGTAAAATTGCAAATCAAGTAAATTATTAAGTTTTAAGTTTTTATATGATACTTACGTATTAAAATTATAGTTTGTTATTTAATTTTCATATTAAAAAAAATATAAGTAAATAATACTAGTAAGATATAATCATGAAAATATTATTTATATCTACCTACAATTATTTAGCAGTAAACAAAAAGTATTATACATGTATTAATAACTGCAAATGTTGTAAACTTTATAACAATATATGACATTTAAACACAGCAGGTGTGTCTTATATTCTCATGCATTGTAATAAATGTACCTATAGTTTATATTCTACCTATAATGTTATGTTATCAGATGGTAATGAAAAGTAAAAGTGATCGTTAAAATAAACGGTAAATACTTGTTACAAATGTTATGATTCATAACTTATGATACAGATGGACAAATTTTAGTGTTCAATGTAATAATTTATCATTTAATAGGCAGTTACTTAATTAGTAACATAATCTATTTATCAATCTATACACATGATATTATGTCTTAAACTTTTAAAATAAACATTTATTTGATAAAAAACAAGTGAAATGTTCTAAATAAAAATTATTATTATGATTTCAAATTAGTAAGAAAAAAATCATATACTTATCTAACCGTATTTCATAATACCTAATTATGTAGGAATAAATAAATATAGAAATAATATTATTATGATATTAAAAAATGGTTTTTTGACAAGGTATGATAACCACGAAGGTTAAACAATATTTAATGTTATTTGATAGAAGTTATTGAATTACACGAAGTAGATTATAGAATAAAAATACATTAACATTTAATATTTGTGTCAACTACAAGAGTTTTATTTAAAATAAAAATATTTATTATATAGCCATAAGTTAAATTAAATAAATCTTATTTTTTACTAAAAAAAAGATTTGATAGAAGTGTAGGTTCGATGAATTTATTTTTTTTTAATAATGATACTAAATGATTTTAAAAATAACTAGTTAAAACCAAGTTTGTTTAAATATTTTAATTTTTCCAACTAGTTTCTATATTAGATTTTTCAAAGCTTAGACAAACTCTTAAAGAAAATCCTTTTTCTTCTCTATTTAAGTTATTACTTACATATTTTTTTTAAAGATAGTGAAATAAGTGTCTATATCAATAAGTTAATAAGTATTTAATATAATATACAATATTAAAAAAAGTAGGCAACATTTGAAATAGGTACATATTATAAGTACAAAGTTTGCACAAAATAAGTATATCATGAATAGATATAAAAATAATTGCAAAACTAATTTTAAATATAAATATCAAAAAAATTAGTTGATTGACTATTGCATTTTAATATTATATTGTTATTAAAATATTTTGATAATTTATTTAAATATAATGTAATAAACGGTTTAAGTTAAAGTTAACTTTAGAAACAAATAAATTGAATAAATACTAAAAATCATAGAAAAATTTAAACTTTTTTATTGCGAGTAAACCATAGATACAAGTTTTTAAGACACAATTATACCTATTTGTATTGAATTAAGTTAAAAATTTAGGTTAGAATGAGTGTGTATACAGTTAGCCTTTAAGATAACGTCATACTCGTATGTTTCGTCTATATCTTACTGATGTATTAAATATTAAATACCAATGTTTGGTTTCAGAAGTTCCAGTTTTGTCTTGTTACCTTAGATATTAGATTGAATTAAATTATTATTAAACTTAATGGTTAGAATATTATCTATATACTCTCGTTGCTTTTTACAATATTTTAATTCTTAAGTAAGTTGTGTGCACTATTAAATTTTAATATTTTACGTACTCGTTATTCATTTGAACGTTAAAATATTATAAAAAGCTAACGAGAGAACACAGATAATGTTCTTACCTTTAAGTTTGATAATATGTTCATTCATTTATTATTTAAAGTAACAATAAAAAACAAGAACTGTTCAACTTAAATATTGGTTTGTTATATGTTAGTAAGCCAGTTTTTTATGAAAATCGTTGATTGCAATTTCGGTAGTACCTATATAAATACATTATGCGTGATCATAAAGAGACCGCTGAGTAATCTATTTGAACATTTTTTAAAAGTTCATACGCATCCTCCTAAATCTATCATTCCAGCCACTCTAACCATGAACGAACCATCCTACACAAAAATAAATTGAAATCGTCGAGGACGTTAAGTTAAAAGTTTATGGTAAATTTTAACCACGACGTTTCTACAGATATCTTTAAATTATATTAGGTACATTATTGTGAACATGATTTTTGATTTGACGTATTATAACTGGGAAGAGCTAAGTTATTGCGTTAAGTTTTATACTAGATATAGGTATGTCATTAAAACCATTTGGCCTACTAGTTAAGTAAAAAAGTTAACTTTAACGCAAATATATATGTATAAATTGTGCATAATACGTGTGTGTGTGTGTGTGTGTGTATGAATGGTGTATATACCTTGTGTGGAAAAAACGGAGTGTGACGTTACAGCGTGCAAAGTCTTCACAGTTTTGATGACTACTATGTGCACCAAACAAAAACATGAAACGTGCCGGTGGCGAATTATTGACAGCGGCGGCTAAACGTGAGCGGAACGACGACGACGACGAAGGTTTGACGAGCGCAATAAAACGCGTATGCGGTCATGTCGGATGGACGACTGGCGCGTTGTCCATTAAGCCGAACACTTGGCGTTCGCCGTCTCCGCCGTCACCGCACACGCTCTCCCCTTCACTCTGTTACGCACTGCTGTCACGCCGCCGACAAGGATAAATGCTAGCTGACCGCCATAATGTGAAAAATTAAAATTCATCCGATTTTTAGATTTTGTCGAATTTTGTATGAAATCATTACAATATAATATTAATAACCGGTGTATCGTGTTTTGATAAAAAAAAATAAAAATAAAAAATATATTGGTCATGCTCTGCAAGTAATCAAACATAGCCCATATAGGCAACTCGTATGGGCCGTATGAGGTTGACCCTTCTTTAGATTCTAAGAAGCAAAGACAAATGTACTGATTTTAAATGATTTCAATTTTTTTTTTTGTGTCTAAACATACTAAATATGACGATAATTAGTCGAAAAAATGCTTAGATTTTCAACTTAGAGGGTGGTTTTGAATAGTAAATTGGATTTAGTTTGTAATTCAAAGAAGTCAAAATTAAGTCAAAATAGTGGGAAAAAAATAAACAACAAATTAAGGAGAAAACTGGAATTTTTACACAAATCTAATTTTTGACAAATTCGATTTTTTTTTATGTAACTATAGTACCTAGATATTCGAAATTTTTTCCAAACAAATATTTGATCAATTTCTATACAAGATATAATATTCAAGATATTTCGACTTTTTTTGTGTCACTTATAGTCATTTAAAATTTTCCAATTTTTTTTTTTTTTAATTTTGATAAAAAATTATTTATTGGATAAAAGTGCTGGAAAATTTCATATTAGATCCTTCATAAGTTGTGTAAACAGATTGTAAATTCGTTCAAAATACATTTGAATAATTTATTTTTATAAGCGTTTAAAGTTTAAATTATGATAAAAATTCTTAAAATCACGAAAATTTATATTTTTTTTTATTTATGGTTTGAAAATTTAATAAAAATTTGGTCATGAGTAGTTCATATTAGAACTAAAAATTTAAAAAATATATATGTATTATTTTTATAGACATTTTATGTTTAAATTTGGACGAAATTATACATTTGAACTATGAATTTTTCGTGGAAACATAAAATTTTTATTTATATTATTAATTATAATATTTTATAGATACAATATTTTCAAATACAACGTTTATGGTAAATATCATTTAAAAAAATATGATGTTAGAATTTCATTCGGGCTTATTGACTACGAACTAGAAACTTCTAATAGCTGATTAAAAGTGCAAACGAATAACTGTTCGTATTTTTTAATAATTGTATTCTGTTTAAATACATTTTGCTTCCACCTGTATATTGTAAAGGTTTATGGAAACTCTAAGTGATTTATGTTGTAAAGTATCATTGGTAAGATTAAGAATTTGTGTTTTTAACAGTAATTTGAAACTATTAAAGCAATTCAAAACTTATCAAGTTATTTAATTTAATATAGTAAAATAACAAGTACCTATTCAAGAAATTAATGCGTTTATTAAGATGTTTTAACATCGAACTTTTATAACCTAAGAATCATTTAATTAAAAATGATAAAGCCGCGTTCTAGACCAAAATGTTGTTAAATTAATTGTCTTGTATGATATGTCCCGATTAATGATGAGTGATAACAGTGGTATATACTGTTATACTGGATTTTAGATGTTTACTATACTGCCGTGCTAAGCGAAAAAGCAGTATCTCCATCTAAGCAAAATGTTGGAAAATCGACTAAACAGTGTTAGACTCATTACTGATCCGTGCACCAAGTATAATTAACATACAATCCTAAAATAAACGTGTATATACTAATCGTATATCATAGAATTGGTTTTATGAGTTTTTAAATATTTTCGTTGATTCCTTGACCATCAAAATGGACTTACTGCTTATTTGATAAGCACTATCAGAAGCAAATTTACAGTATATCCATTTCTAGGGAGATACTGTATATTTATTCTAACGAAATTTATTATAATAGGGAGATACTGTCTTTTATTTTAAACTATATAATATTATAAGGAAAATTAATAGAAAAATCTATAAAGTAATTACTAACTTAGTAGTAAATAGTAATAACTAATAACATATTTATATAATATATTTGGTACAATATACATATTATTATATAAATAAATAAGTTGCAAACACTTTTGAACAAGTAAGTACTTTTTACTTTAAATTAACAATTTATAAAATAATTAAAAATAATTTAATCAGACTGACATTTTTATAATAATAACTATCATTATAATAACATTTTTAATTTTCGTTGTCACTATATAAATCTATTGCTTCAATAGCACACGGAAAATCTAGCCAGAATTGTTTCCTTGTTTCTGGCATTAAAGGAACTAATGTTTTTATGATACTTTCCTTTTTGCTTGGATGAATACCAAGAACTTTAGTTTTTTGGACTGGTTTTGAAATTCCATTTTTAATGATGTTGTTTTTTAAAAAATCAAGTTTTCTAAATGGACAATATTTACTGTAGTCAGTTTTGTAAAGCAAATAATTCAATCCTCTTTCTGCCTTTATATGAACAATGTCACTAAGCATTGGTCTTATATTTTGCTTGTTCAATTTGTAAACAGAACATTCTGATTTCCAATCATAGAAGTCTTTGAGATCCATTACTTTTGCATCTACATGCCCACTATTGGATTTACGGATAACTTTTTCAAAGTCCATAAAATCATACACTTTACCTGTTTTTTTCATTGATAACTCAACTTGGTGATGGAAACTGTCAGCAGACATGAATGAGTGTCCAGGTTCAAAGTAGAACAAATTAATTTCAGTAGTTTCAATTTCATGTGAATTAATAACATAAATCAAGAATGTCAATAGGCACCAATTTTTATTTTGTGCTGCGCAGTTATCCATCCATATTGAAATATTTTTAACATCTTTATTAAATAAAAGAAACTGAAAAAAACAACTTGTCAAATCTTCCTGTTTTCTTCCAGACACACCTTCATGCCATATGATAGCTAAAGGTTTAAATTTATTTTTTTTTCCTATTGGCACAAAACTTTCATTGAATACTATTATTCTTTTAGTGAATATAGCTGCTTTGAAACATTCCATGCGAGGTAACATAATAACTTTCTGAAGATCAACAGAAACAGTTAATTTAGAATCACTATTCAATTCTTTTTTATGACTTTCATACAAGGATCTTGCTTGTGTATATAACTCCAAATGTACTTCATACTTTTTACATACATTACAAGTATTAGAAGATAAATTTAATGTGTCTTTACTATGATTTGCATTATGTTGCTTCCATTCCTCGCATTGCTCACATTCCTCGTGACCCAACTTAGTAAAGGAAATATTATTGTCTCTTAAAACTTTTCTATAAGCATCATATGAACATTTAATATCTGAGAACTTTTTTTTAAAATCTTCATACATAAAATTGGCATTAACTTCATTTGGTAAATATCTCATGTTTGGTGCATGAGCTCTTCTATAATGAGAAACACATGGGTTGAATGAGTCTATATGTGATTTTATAGACTTTAAGGATTCCTCTTTAAGCTTGTTCCATGGAGAACGATTATTCTTATCTATAATAGGAGATACTATGGCATTTTTATTTTTATCCTTAATACTTGAACATATTTTATATACAAATGAATCATTCTTTGGTTTATATCCTAATGTAGCTAAAAAAAAATGCTTACAAACACTTACATTTTTCCCATCTAGATTTTTAAATGAATATTTTAAAGACCAATTTCTTTTTATTTCCTCTCCTTTGCCTCTTCTACGTTTAACATTCTGTCTCTCCACTGATGTGAGCACAAACATTTTTCTTTCTGCTACAGATATATTCCAAAAGTCTCTGTTTATAACTTCTCTAAGAGCCTGAGATATTTTTTCAGTACATTTTTGTTTACATGATAATATACATGGTGATTTTAAACAATGTTTCTCTCGTTGTTGTTGTAATAACAGTTGTTTACGTTCATATGGGGTTTTACTGTAAGTTTTTCTTTTTCTTTTGGTACCTTTTTTAGTGACATCATTATCAACTTCTTCTTCATTTGTCTGTAATGCATAATTTTGACCATGTTCTTCAATCTAAAAACCCATTGAGAAAAATATATAGTTTTGTATTAATATTTTAATATTATTTTATATAATATATACCTTATGTTAAAGTATTATTATAAAAAAACAAAAACAAAAATATACGTAGTTAAGTATACATAATTTTATATTATACCTTTCTTTTTGTAGGTATATTATTGTTATTATTTTATTTAATATATTTAATATATAAATGGCAAACTAAAAAAACAAGTTAATTGAAAAAAGATTTTTTTTTAAGCTTATAATGTACCTATATTATATTGGTTAATTATTAGTTTTATTTATTAAAGACTATACTTTGATGTACCTACTGAAATGACTACAATAATTATTGATCAAAGTATTATTTTATTTACAGTGCAATATTGTTTACCTGTTCAACTTCTTGTAGAGGATAAATTATATCAGGATCACTGTCATAACTCTTAAGTTCATCTTCACTACTTATTTGACCAAACTCATATAGACTACAAATACTGTTTGTTCCCATAGATCTATTGTCAATGTCATCGACAAGTTCTTCTAATCCCTTTAACAATTAAGTAGACATTTAGTTAATTATTAAAATATATAAAAATTATATATAGTATCAACAAAACTGTTTTTAAATACTCACAACCAATATAGTTTTTCCATCCTCTTCTAGCTGTTCATTTAATCTAATTAAATCGTTGTCCATCATAAACAACAAGTTTATTTCATTTATATTTTTACTAAATTCAAAAATCTACAAAGAGTCAACGATATTACAGTGACAAAGTTATAATTATTCAGTGATGCATTTAAATTTTGTAACAACAACAACAATAATTTACTAATCTATGATAACATAGCCTAAAAATAGAATATTTGTTAATAATTTAGTATTCCATCAAATTGATAATGAACATAATATCAGCTGTGTGACCACGAAAT